CCATAGGCTCGAGGAATCGATCACGGCATCACGGAACCTCTCGTGGGACCGTGGACTCGATCATGGAAACATAGAACCGATCATGGGATCAACCCGTGGGATCAAAGGATCAATCATGGGATAATGGGATCGATAATGGGATCAATCATGGGATAAAGGGATTGATCATGGGATCAATCATGGGATAATGGGATCAATCATGGAATCACTGACTCAACCATGGGATCATGGAATCACAGAATCAACCATAAGATAATGGAATGATGGGATCATAGACTCATGGAATCAATCATGGGATCATGGAATCAATCATGGATCACAGAATCTATCATGGGATCGATCACAGGATAAGTCATGGAATCATTGGATCAATCATGCAATCATTGAATCAACTATGGGATTGTGGAATAAATAATGAGATAAAGGAATCAATCATAGGATAACGGGATCAATTATAGAATCATTGCATCAACCATGGGATCATGGAATAAATAATGAGATAAAGGAATCAATTATGGGATCAAACATGGGATCATGGAATCAATTACAGAAACATGGGATCAACCATGAGATCACAGAATCATGGAATCAATCATGAGAGCACGGAACCCATCGTGGAACCATGGAATGGTCGGGGTTGGAAGGGACCTTCAAGACCATCTAGTTCCAACCCCCCTGCCACAGGCAGGGACACCTCCCACTAGCCCAGGTTGCTCAAAGCCCCATCCAACCTGGTCTCCAGCAATGGATCATCCACAACTTCCCTGGGCAACCTGGGCCAGTGTCTCACCACCCTCAGAGTGAGGAACTTCTTCCTCATTCCTCACCTAAATCTCCCCTCTCCCAGTCTGAAGCCATTACCCCTCAGCACTACAAGCCCTTGTCAAAAGCCCCTCCCCAGCTTTCTTGTAGCCCCCCTTCACATGCTGGAAGTTCCCAACAAGGTCCTGGCCAAGAACAGTTTCACAGCTTCACCAACTAGGCACTGCTGGGTTTATTCCAAACAGAGTTAATTACCCCCAGACACACTCAGCAGCCATGAGGACCTTGGAGGTGGGCACGGATCACTTGTGAGAGGGGAGCCCCTTGAGGTAGTAGACCCAGCAGACGCTGGCCCCCCCCGGGCAGGAAACCACCATCTTGCTGGTGGCGGGGCCCTCGCCCTCGAAGGAGACGCTGATGAAGGTGGTCTTCTTGGGGCGCAAGCTCTCGGGGGCCCTGATGGAGAAGGCCGGGTGCTCCACCGTGTACTGGAAGGCCGTGGGCTGCAGGAAGATGTTTTTGAAGGGTATGGAGGTGGTGCCACCGGCCTTGACGGAGAAGGGGCCCTGAGGCTTGGGCGGGAGGGCGAGGCCAAAGAGGGGGATGCGGAACTCTCCACCGAGGGCCGAAGAGAGCTGCAGCGTGGCCCTGGCTTCCCCCAGCTGGCAGGGCTCGTAGGTCACCTCCACGCTCACCTCTGAGCCCCTGGGGCTGGCAGGGGCCACGCTGATGGTCTTCTCCGTCTGGAAGTCGGGGCAGTTGGTCTGCATGGGGGAGAGAAGGAGACCATGGTGGGGATGGGTCATAAAAGCAGGGCCAGCACCTCGGGAAGAAACCAATGGTCCCCAGCAGCACATTGGCCAGGGTCCCTTTCCCATCCCTGCCCATGTCCTCCCCAGCCCACGCCCCTGGTGGGTCCCTACAACGTCTGCCCAAACATGCCCAGCAGGCACCACCCTGCACCCAAACCCTGGAAGACCTTTAAAGCCTGGCTCCAGCAGCAACGTGGAGGTCCAGGCACCACAGGACCTGCAAAAGCAGCTCAAACAAGAGCAGCAGAGAGAGGTCTGGGGGTGAGGGTGGCCCAGCTGGGGCAAGCCCGGCGTCGGTGGGAAGCCCTCATGGCTCACGTGGCCACATTGGCTAGGGCAGGCCAAGCTAGAGAAGCAAGTGTCCTCGGAGGACAGGGTGGACGCTGGGCAGATGAGCTGCCCACCAGCCAGAGCCTGGGGCAGGCTGGGGTCACCTGGAGAAGGTATTCTGTCTTCTGCCGGGCATAATTAATGAACTGGGTGGTGATGGTCTGGCTAGAGCCCAGCGTGGTGCAGAAGTAGAGGGGCTTCTCCGGCCTGCTTGTGGTGGCTTTCAGGTGCAGATTGTAGTAGAAAGAGCCCAAGTCACTGCTCTGGAGCACTAGGCACCCGCTGTTCTCCCCACTTTTCAGGGGCTGGTACTCCAAGACAAGATCAGCCTGGGAGGAAGGAAGGGAAAAGCCACCAGCGTCAACTGGAGACACAGAAATGGGTCCTTGGTGCACATGCAAGGTGACTCTCACTGGGGATGTTCTCATACACAACTCCCCCTCCAGATTCTGAGTGGGTAGGAACCATCACCCTTGGAAAGAAGTCCCAGATGGTTCATGTAGGCCACCAACCCTCAAGAGTGCCCAACCCCAGAAGGCTGAAGGGAGAGGAGAGCGACTGCAGGAGCTTCGTTCCCACCTCTGACCGTGCAGGAACGGTGAACTGTGGAGGAACGCTGACGTCGGGCACTTTGCAATCTAGGGCAAACGTCACTGGGACGGACAGAGGGTTGTCCACCTTGACGGTGGAAGACACCCTCTGCCGAACAGCAGCGGTCATCTCAATAGTGCTGATGGGTCCCGAAGCGGTGGCCTTGAAAGTCGCCATGTAGAACAAGTACTCCCGGGTCACCTCGTTGAGGAAGGTCACCTGAATCAGAGGGAAAGGGAAGCACTGGTCATCCTCCACATGAAAATACACTGGCTGCCCTAAGCCAGCCCAAAGAGGCCCCAGCTCAGCACCCTGCCTCCAAGAATGGCCGTAAGGAGCCACCAAGGAAGGGTGCAAAACCAGGGAAAGCATAGGTGATATTTCCACTTGATACTCTCCCAACTGCCTGTTGTTTCCAGCTCATCGAGGTCCTGACTCACCTCGGCTTAGAAGCCCCCAGTGGGGAGCTCAGTACCCACCTAGGACACCTACAACCCCACCAGCAAGTATGTGGAGGTACGAAAACGGGCATGTGGCTTCTCAGTGAGCCAACAGCTCCTTGCAAGGTCCCACAGCCCAGTGTCCACACTTACCATGGTGTTGAAGACTCCTTCCTTGTAGGAGAGGAATGTGAGCTTGTAGTCCTTCTTGGCAGAGCCTGGCACGTCAATGTATTCCAGCCCCTGCAGCACAGAACTCCTCTCTAGGTTTTCTGGTTTGAGTATGTCCACCACCACACGGAACCTGTGGGCGAGAAGGAAGCAGTGAAGGTCAAGGGGAAGGGCTCCTCTAGCATGCACATCGTGTGGGGGTATGAACCAGCCCCTCTCATCCCCAGTGCCTCAGGCAGAGGGAGGAATCATAGAAGGGTCTGGGTCAGACCTTCAAGATCACTTAGTTCCAACCCCCCTACCATGGGCAGGGACACTTCCCACTAGACCAGGTTGTTCAAAGCTCCAACCTGGCCTTGAACATCTCCAGGGATGGAGCATCCACAAGTTTCCTGGTCGACCTGTTCCAGTGTCTCACCACCCTCAAAGTGAAGAACTTCTTCCTCATATTTAATCTAGATCTCCTCTCTTCCAGTTTGAAGCCATCACCCCTCATCCTGTCACTACAAGCCCTTCTAAAATTTCCCTCCCAAACTTTCTTGCAGACCCCCTTCAGATACTGAAAGACCACCAGAAGATCTCCCTGGACCCTTCTCCTCTCCAGGCTGAACACTACCAGCTCTCTCAGCCTGCCCTCACAGAGGGGTTCCAGCCCACTGCTCATCTTTGTAGCCTCCTCTGGACCTGCTCCAACAGGTCCTCTCAGGAAGCTATCACCCATCTCAGAGGAAAGCGCTCCAGGATGGGTCTGCACAGGCAGAACGTGGGTACTGCTGTCCCAGACACCCATGGCCAGAAATTAAAAGGATGGAGCTACCAGGCAGTAGGAAGCCCTTCCTTGTGCTGATGGGATGACACCTCCTGGGCTGAACTCACCTCTGTGGTCTATTCAGCCAGTTGGAGACAGGGATGAGCTCAGTGTAGGAAGTTCTACATGGCACCTGCCGGAAAATGGTCCCTGAGCACTTTGGGGCCTCAGCAGTTCCTTGCAGGAGGTAGTACAGACCTGTCCCATCCGGCAACGGGAAGAAGATGGAGCCCTAGAAGACAAGAAATGGGGTAAGGGACCGCTCCGGCTCTCTGCCTGGACCAGTCACTGGCTCTTGAGCACACCCGGACACAGTCCCACGAGTCCTGGTTTCGGCTGGGATGGAGCTCATGTCCTTCCTGGTGGCTGGGGCAGTGCTGGGTTTGGGTTTAGGATGAGAACTACGTTGGTGACACGCCGATGGTTCAGCTGTGGCTTACACTGAGCTTACACTGAGCCAAGGACTTCTCAGCTTCTCCTGCAGAGGCTGGGGGTGTGGCACGAGGAGCTGGGAGGGGACAGAGCCAGGACAGCTGACCCCAGGTGACTAAAGGGGTGTTCCAGATGATATGACATCATGCCCAGGAGATAAACTGGGAGGAGTTGGCTGGGGGCACCCCAGCTTGGGGATTGGCTGGGCATGGGCCAATGGGTGGTAAGCAACTGTAGCATCCATCACTTCTCTACATTCTGTGATGATTTTACTTTCCCTTTCTGTCCTAGTGAACTGGCTTTCCCTCAGCCCGAGTTTTACCATTTTCCCCCACTTCTCCCCCAAGGGGAGCAGTGAGCGAGTGACTGCATGGTGCTCATTTTAAGGTGCCAATGGGTCACAACCAGCTGGACCTTCAGGAGACCTGCCTTCTTGGGTGAGCTGCTCCTCCAGCACATTCTGTGGTCAGTCCAGACTTCCCACCTGCACTTTCCTCCACCACTTCCAACCCCATTTTCCTCTAGCCATCAAGAAACCCAGCTTCCAGCAGAGACAGCTTCAGCTTGGATGTGATCTCTGAAGGCCATCTCTTGCCCAAAGCAGGGTGAGCTGTGAGTGCCATGCTCTGAGGGTCAGCATGATGGCACAGCTCATGTACCTGGTGCTTCTTTTTCTCGGAGCTCATGGTTAGGGGTTTGTAAGTGATCTCGTAGGGCTTTTTTTGTTGATTGGCCTCTAGATGGAAGAATTCCGGCCCCGTCCAGTGTCCCCCCTCAATGATGGGTTGCAGGGTCCAGGCCTCGTTGCTCGGGTTGGACAGGAGGATGGTCTGGCTCTGCTTCTCACGCACGTCACATGTGAAGGTCAGTGTCTGCAACAGAGGAGCATGGAGCCTGCTTGGTCACACTCTGGAGCTCTCTGCTCTTCTCCAGCTACACCAAGACCTGGAGCACAAGGAGCAGCTTTGCCTTGTCAAACCCAAGTTCCCATTTGGGCCACAGCTTTTGAAGTAGATCAGGTTTGTTGTTCTTAAAGAAGGGAGAGGAACGAGCCCTTACGTGTGCTGGGTGGAGGGGTCTGCTGGAGCAAGGAGCTCCAGGCTCTCTTTTGGAAGCAAGAGCCAACACCTCCCAGCTGCATCCTCCTGCAATGCCTGTGAGGGCCAGGACTCCTCCAGGAGCTAGATGGAGATGCCTTGGCCATCCCTAGTGCTGAAGGCCCTCCCCTGCCCCGATGGGGAGGAAAGGTGTGGCTGTGGGCGCAACAGTGGGGGTACAGCTGGGTGACTCTCTAGGGAGGGTCTTAGAAGAGCCCTGTGGGGTGTCCTCATGCCAAAGGTGCAGTGCAGGGCCAGGACAGTTGAGGTGCTGCCTGGAGCAGCAGCACGTTTGATGGGGGAGGAAGGGCTCAGAAATTTTGTGAATCCTGCCTGGTGTTCTTCTCAGCTGTCTTGGACAGCCAGGCAGGATGACAGCCAGGATGAGTTGACACACAGAACTGTCATAGACTCAAAATTGGTTTGGTTGGAAGAGACCTGCAAGATCACCAAGGCCAACCACTAACCCAGCACTGCCAAGTAAGCCATGTCCCTCAGCACCACATCTCCATGGCTTGGAAACCCCTTCAGGGATGGGGACTTCACCACTGTCCTGGGCAGCCTATCACAGCCCTGGACAACTCTTTTGCAGAAGACATTTGTCCTCAGGGCCAACCTAAACCTCCCCGGGGCAACTCGAGGCCATTTCCTTTCATCCTATCACTCGTTCCTTAGGAGAAGAGCCTGACCCCCACCTGGCTCCAGCCTCCTGTCAGGAGCTGTGGAGAGCCAGAAGGTCTCCCCTG